TATATATATATTTTTAGCATATGATATGTTGCTTGAATCTAAATCCTTACCTTGTTTTTTTCCTTGGGGATGCCCTTATGTTGCTCTGGAAAAACAGTGCTAGGTGCCATTTTTTTAAAAGTGGTCAGGAGCTTTTGGCTTGTGTAAATCCTTAAATGCAGTGTGCTGGTTGTAGTTGCCTCTGACCCTATTTATAGTCCTCAGACCTGCTAACGATATGTGGGTCTGAGGTTTGTTATAGTTTCCCACACTCAGGAACCAATCAGATGTGGCCAGAGGACAATAGGAGAGGCATTCATTATGTCATGCTGCATTGATAGTGAATGACTTGAGCATAATAAGCTGCTCTCAGAGGAGCAGGTGGGGAGTGTGTGAGAGAGGGATACAGTGTGCTGGGAATGACGTGACCTGTGCTGGGAAAAAGCTTCCTTTACGAGTGGTGGGCTACTGACTAATGCCCCGGATCAATAGTTTTCTGGTAACACACACTTAACAATTCACAGCAATTCATGAATGTGCCTGCATTTTGGTTTTGGCGGGAAGTAGCTAATCACTACAGACAGCTATGAGTGGGCTAATGCTCTAATCTCTGGTGACACACGTGCAGGCACACTCAATGAGAGTCACCATGTGGGCCGTCATGGAGGCCTAATAAATAGAGATTAGATGAGAAAAAGAAATTGTGTCTCTGAACTGAATGCCAGTGTTATCATTCCTTAAATTTCCATGCAAAATAGCTTCACCTAAACAATGACCCACAGAAACATACCTTTGCTGCAGGGAGAGCATGATGATGTAATAGTCCTTCACACAATGCAATGCTTTTTGCTTATTGTCACTGGTGATAACATACGTCATAACATGCAAATGGAAGGTTCAAATGGCCCAATTAGATATCTCTGTACAATGCGACTGACAGCTGAGACACAGAGCAATATCTAGCCTTAGACAGGTACTCCTTAAACTGACTCTAAACTCAGGTGTTGAATCTTAAAAATGCATTCAGGTACCTCACCTATTAACAAAAATGTTCCATGTTTGTGAATCACTCAGCTGTAGATCCTCAAATCATCTCTGAATTCATGCTGACACCGTCCTTCCTACTGGAGGGTGGCTACTTTTGTTCCCCTTGGTCCCTGTGTGTGTTGTAAAGTAGTCACCACTCCAAGCTGGTTCCCTTAATGGACTACAATCTCAATACAAATTAGTAAACTAAACATGAGATTGTAGTCTATCACAGAAGTACGCTTTGAAATGTGGCTACCTTACAACACACACAGAGACCATGGGGAACAAAGGTAGCCAACCTCCAGAAGGAAGGACAGTGTCAGCACCAATTCAGAGATTATTTGAGGTTCTACAGCTAATAAAATATGACTACACAAATAAGGCACAGATTACAGTAAGGCACACATTACAGTATTGGGGTCACTTTAAAGACACCTGAGTTTAGTGTCACTTTAAGAATTTTGTATGCCTATATCAGAACAGTTTCATAATGCTGTTACACACAATGGACCAATGTTACGCCAAAATCAACAGGTGATGAGACATCTGCTTATTGTCACAAATATTATCAAAGTTCCGGAACCTACCAATTGTATTTCTGACTTGGAAATAACACATGGCTTGGAATACATGGCTGTTATATATATGCAATAAGTGCATTGGTTTCTTTTTTGCATAGCAAAATGAAACCATCTGTGTTGTCTGTAAAAAAATGTCCAACATGCTCGAAGATCTAAGTATGATAAGTTTCTTTCTGAATGTCAGTAAAGGTTCTTATTGCTGTATTACAATATGTTTGCTAAAACCAATTGAAACCACAACATGGGAGTCTGCTCCCATATCTGTGCTATGCAGATGAGCCATCTGTTCAGAGAAACATACACTCAAGTCAATGTTTGCTACCTTTGTTAACAAGCTCTGCAATAACTACACACAAAAAAACGCCACATAAATATTCGAGTAGTCCATAGGAAAATGCAATTTGTTAAATCTTGTGAACAGAAGCAGATAGGTATCTAAAGGTCACAATAAAATGACTATCTCACTGTATTCAGGAATTGATGCCAACTGCTGGGTCATGAACAGTCAAATTGGCCATTTCTGTTTTATGTTAAGAATGAAAGGCAAGGAAGGATTGCTGTAGATGGGCAAAACAATGAAAATCAGGTAATCAGGAATTTTTTGTTTGTTTTCGCGGCTGGTTTTGAGGGATGTGATTTGGGTTGAAGTTTAATTCACGATGAATTTCCAGGATCTAAACTTCCAAAATCCAGGTAGATTCACGTTCGACCACACACCAGTCAAAAAGATGTGGCATCTGGATAACCCAGTCCCTCACTAAAAAAGAAGGGGTTTTCATTTTTACTAAAGGCAGGAAAATATGTACTTACTGTGCAAGGGAATTTTCCCTTAGCTTAGTGAATGTGGTGAAAACTCAATTTGTATTGAATATAGCTAGGAAAATAAAAAAACAGTATTTTTTTCCTTGCACATGATTGGGTGAGGGAACTCAGCTTCGCTTCATTTGTTTGCTAAGGGAAACTTCCCTTGCAAAGTGCAATTTCCCTTACAAAGTGAACAGCCTTTTTGCCTTTCGTAAATCAACCCCATACAGTCAGTGTGTTGGAGCGGCTGTAGTGAGAGGAGGGGGAGAGCTGAATGACGGAATAGGGAGAGATTAGTGTAGGCAGGTCGGTTCACACTTGAGATCCGTGAATTGCAGTGTTGGGGTACATTTTTTTCTGTTCTCCTATTATTGGGGGACCAGTATTACCTCCAAAGTTGCTCATCGGAGCTTTATAGTCTGTGCCTTTTTTTGCAGACTCTGCTGTCAAGTGTACCCTTGTCTATAGAGTGTCTAGGATGGACAACTGGTCAGAGCTGGCACCTGAGGTGCTAGCCTGGCTGTTGCAAGTGTCATGTAAAAGAGGCACTGGAAGGAGCTGTGAATGACAAGATAGATTATTATTAAAATGAATCCACATACTTGCCAAGGATGTCACTGATTATTATTAAAATGAATCCACATACTTGCCAAGGATGTCACTGATTACCCTGTGTATATTCGCACAACTCATTACAGCAAATATTTTAATTTGCTTATTTTATGCTCCATTCATTTTACAAGAAAGAGACCAGATACCTTTCCCCTTTGTTGCTGCTTGCACTTGTGTAAGGGTTAATGGTGCTGACAAGCTCTAAGATTTCTGCTCTTAGCATCTCTCCTCATTTTACTTTGCTTACCATAAATTCAAAAAATTACAAAAGGGCTAAAGTTCTAGTTTTCAAGGAAGTCACCTTTCTATGCCTTGTGTCTCCACATTTAGGCCTAGCCAATTTTTATCCACTCATACCTGAGAGCTGTAGCTCTAATTTATTAGGAAGATATCTCTTCAATGGCTCTGCTTTTAAGCCTGTAGAGTGTAGACCCTTAATGCAAGCATGCCTGCCTCCTGGCATTTTGGGACAGCGTCTGCTGGCCAACGCATGCCTACAATAGTAAACTGGAATGGTGATGCTGCCTAGAAGCAAAGCTAATTGTAAAATAAACAAAAACAGTAAATTTATATCAGAGCCAAATGTGAGCTGTCCAAATACAGTGTGCTGTTTCTGTAAAACCAAATATAGTGTTATGGCAGCCCTCAAACCAGTAATTTAAAGCTCTCAAAGCTGTATGAAAGGGCCTTCCCCCTACTGATTTTCATTTTAATGGATTAATAAAGGTCCCCGATAGTTTAGCTTGGATTCCCATGCAATAACTTGCATATAACCCCCCCCCCCAAAGGCCCACAAAGTGACCATTATTTAATATTATTATTTATTTAACCCCCATTGAATTTAGTGCACTTTGCCTTTTGGCTAATCAAATTTTTGCCCAACTGCTCATCACTAATTGTGATCTATAAACATTAGATTGTCTCCTAATACAGCCTAAAATGGACAAGTCGAAAGATTGCTATCTAAAGTACAACTTGCTAAAATCCTTGTGCTGTAGGCCAGAAGCCAAGCCCAAATAAAAACAAATTGTTGAAAGATAATGACTACACAATGTGGGTCTGCTACAGGTATTGGCTTTCCAAAGATATGCGCAAGGCATGCATATTTATGCAGACAGCAGATTTGGTTTGCCCAGAATAACTGGCATAGGGCAGCATAATATTTACTGCTCTCATAATGAAACCTGGAGATAAGGTAATATATAGCTGTTGCCCTAGCAACCAGAATATTTTTATTCGTTAACCTGCACTGGGAAAACTAAATGTGGACTGTTTGCTCAGGGTAACAGCTCCACTTGTCTTCAATCCGCTGTTCAAAAATCATCAGCAGATGTCTCTAGGTAATCTTCTCCTAACGGGTTGTACTGTGTGTTCTGTAGTAGTCAAACAGCTTGCAGTTCCTCCAGAGCAACAGGAAATATGTGAAATTTTCCTACTGCGCACGCAAGACAAACTTAACTTGAGAAATTACAGTCCCATGTGTGCTAATTGATGCTGTGGATAAAAAAATTAAGTTGAGGTATACATGCATAATTTGAGCTAGGGTAGGTGAAGCATAATTTGACAATCTGGGTGTACCATGCAGAGAAAAGCTTTGTGTATGGACAGATATCTGCATGTTTGACCTACGAAGAAAGAAGCACTTGGGCACTGGCCTAAGTGAGAAACAAATCTAAGCCCGATGATTGCTTTATCCCATGAGAATGCTCAGTTCTGGGATGTCTTCCAAGGGAGGGAAGGACCTACAGACCTGAAATCTTTTCTTAAACAGGCCACAACCATCCAGATTGAGAGAACATCCTTTTATGTCTATAGGAACCTTAAGGGACAATTGCAATAAAACAATATTTCGATACACATATGCAGTTAATACCTGTAAGCATAGCATGCATTATATTAAGAAGGACCTGAACTGTGGAAGCTGTGCCCAAAAAAAGACACGCATAGGGTAAAGGACTAGTCATCAGAATTGCCTGTGGTCTTCCTGCAGCTGATCTTCTCCCCATTACTAATTTGCCTTGTTCCACATTGTGTCATGTATGGCGGGAGCCATCTCGGAGAGGACCAAGGCCTTGCTTTCTTGTGTCTGAGCTTTCCCCCGATGACAGGCGATTTGATGACTTGGAGGAATGTTTAATAA